TTGGACGCCACGAGCGTGCGCTAACTCTCAAACCAAACCCTCGGCCCCGTTTCGGAGCCACCAGCACCAATCTCCCTCTCGGCCAGCAAGGAAAATGCTGGATGGGCAGGGGGGGCACGGTCTACAGCCGGCAAAACCCACAGAGCCCAGCAAATCGCTTCTCTCTGCCCTGGGCAACCCCGCTGTGCCGCCTGGAACAAGCCATTTCCAGCCTGATGCTCTACAGACACCTGGGGTTTTCTTTGCAGCTCGTGCTGTTTGACCGCAAACCAAGGCAAATTCAGAGCTGTAACACCCTTACACCTCGGTCTGAAGCTGACAAGAGAGTTCAGGTTGGAGGGGGGGAGCCCCCAAACCCAACCAATATGCCAAATTCTCGGATCTGAAGTTGTCGTCTGTAAATTAATACTCAGGGAAGACCACTCTTACTGTGCTTTGCACAGAACATAGAATCGTCTAGGTTGGGAAAGACCTTTAAGATGCTACTTCAGGTAGCACCAGCATTCTCTGGCTCCCATATGAGTCAGACTTCTCCGACTTGGGTCTGTATCAAAAATATGAAAACATTTGGAAAGCTGCTTTCCAATGCAGACACCCTCTACTGGACAATTATATAGCGCGACTGCAGCTGCGTGGGAAGCTGCCAGCCGTCTGAAATCACTGCGTCAGACTCTACTCATTCCAAAACCTGCCTCGCTGCTACAAAGAATACAACCGCTCAGCAGTGGAAGCTGAAAGAAAAGGCTGCAGGCATGTCTAGACAAACGCCTAAGAACCATGCTATGGAAGGTACTGGGTTCATTCCTTCCCCAGGCTCTCCATGCAGAAGCACTGGAACGCACGCCGAGCCTGCTCAAAGGAATTTCCAGATCAACATCACATACAAGAGAAGATGAGAGAAATTTCGCTAGGAACGTTAATGTACAGCCAGACTTCCATAAAGCTGGCAGACTGCTTCTAGTACCACATCTGCTAGGGACTACCTGAAAACACACAGAGGTCTGCTTTTTCAAGCAGCTTTTTGTTCAAAACCACCTTCAAACATTCATCCCCTTATGCATGCAGGACCACATTTATTTTACTGACTGCGACATTTTACCAGTCTTACCAGATTTCAGACCAGAAATTTTGAAGATGGCACTTGGCTTCTCATTAGTGACAAACCCCAGCAGCTGCCACACTGCCATCCCACTCTGGTCCGGATAACAAAAATAGACAGATCCTCCCATTCCTTCTGGAAATGGTATCGTTCCCAGCATGAAGACCACTACATGGTTGATGTTTTCATAGTCCGGTAAATCAAATACAAATTTGTCTTCAGCCACTTGTTGGGGAGCTGCTTGTACCTAAAGAGAAGAAAACCTTTATTAGCGTTACTCTGTTTTTCATCTTTGTAACTGTGAATTTCCTTTTACAGAAATAGAATCATCCAGGTTGGAAAAGACCTTTAAGATCACCAAGTCCAACCGTTAAATACACCTGAACATAACAAAAAGTGAGGAAGGTGCTAACCTAAATAGCAAACAGCCAGATAAAAGTCAAACACAGCAGCCGAACAACTGCAAAAAAACATTACTAAAAAGGCACAACAGTCTTGTTCTACCTGCACCGCACGTACATCCCACCCGGGACTACAGGACCAGAACACCTTCGCTCCCCGTGCGCGCAGGAGGAAAACAGAGGGCAGACGAGGTTGCCAAGTCTACAAGCAGTGGCTACTGACCACCCGGCTGGCGCAACCCCAGGACCACGGGAACCTGTTCACGTAGAATATGCAACAAACCCTGAGACAGGCAGCAGAGGGATGGGCAAGCGCCAGAGCAAAAGACACCCTCCTCTTCACCCCAGACGCCACATCCCTGCGGCCAACACGGAATCTAGCCCTAAAACCCCTCCTTTAAGCTCCCACTTGGCTCTGAGGAGCCTGAGACCCTCCGTTAACAGAGGGGATGGTGACTGCCACCCTGCAACCAGGCTCGACAACGCAGCTGCCCTGGGGATGCGGGCCAGGAGCCAGCCGAGGCGCCGGGAGGCCGTTTTGCCAAGGGTCTGACTGGAATTGGTCTGGCTAAGGGAGAAGGAGGACTAAGTAGTAGGCGGTGTAAAAGAAGAACATTGGTGTCGCCCTGTAAGAGTTCATACTTCCCCCAGCAAACAAGGCTGCGCGGGGAAGGCCGACCCTGTCCTCTCCCGCCGTCAGCAGGGGCCGTGCTGCCAGGGGCTCCGCTCAGGAGCAGGAGCTCGCTCAAGCTGCAAGCACCGCTGCACCGCACCGGACAGACTCACCTCCATCTCTCCTCTGGGGACAAGTGCGAGAGATCGACCTGGGGAAAAACAAAACCATCAAAAGAAATCAGGCTCTGGAGTCTGGGGGTTCACCGCGAGTAACAGCGACACGGCACCGGCTCCTTTATCCCCCGGAGAGACCCCATCGGTGCCGGCAGCAGCGCTGGACTTTGGCTGCAAAGCCACCCCGTGAGACCCCCGGACTGCTCTCCGAGAACTTTTAAGAAGGAAACCCCCAGACTCAGAAGCGTTAGGCAACAAACCCTCCACATGCCTGTCGTGACGCCGCAGCCCAGAGCTGTGCTTCGACCTTGCAGGCAGCACGGGGGGGAGAGCTGCGGAGTCCCCCCGGCTCCTCCATCACCTGCCAGCACCCTTCCCCTTCTACTCCCATGTTTGGCTGCAGCCAAGGCCCTGCCCACCATCCCGTGCCACGCGTGCCAGGGGAATTGGTTTAAGTCCCACGTTCCCAACCCAGCCGGGTGTCCCTGGGCACAGAGGAGCGATCCCAGCGCACCTCACAGACGGGACAAGAGAAGGGAATCCAAAATCCCACCACGCTGCAGGACAGGGGACGGCGCCTGCGCACCACCAACAAACCATCACCGAAACAAATTTCAGGAAGAACTGGGGAAAAACAACGACGCAGGGCTTCCTTTGCTGACAGGGCTGGAATTTCCTCCCAAGCGTTACAGGCAGCGAAGTTTTTGCCCGAGAGGAGCAACCGTGTGTGGTGGGAGCTGCCGTCCTTCGCGAGGAGAGACGACGGGCTGGCGTAATCCCTGCTTAAGGCAAGCTGAGACCGCCAGGCTGGGCGCAGGGTGTGAAGGACGTCCTCCGTGTGACGGGTTTAGGGGACAGAAGGAACCCGAGTAAGTGATTTAAAAGCTTTGCAGAGCTGCAACTCGGCACTAACCTTCCCAGCTTACAAGCAAGCGGCACCCAAACCTCACGCAGAGGCCGAGTCCCTCAGAGTCCCGTTTCCCCCAGCGAGATTGGGTGTGAGCACTCCCACCGGGAGGCGTTTGGGCTGGGGAGGGGTGGGGGACCGTCGGCATTGCATTTCAGCTTTCTCTTGGAGCTCTGTATCTTCATACGAGAGCTGAAGAGGCCTCCAGCCCCGGCCACGTCCCTGCACGGGCTCGCTGGCCGGGCAGCGCTCGTCCCATGGCCAGCGCGAGCCCTGGCACACGGCGCTGGGGATGCAGCGAACGAAACCCGTGGCTCTGACTTCACATCGCCTTTTCTTTGGCGAGACACAAAACCCCGTCTGGCTGGAGAGCACAGGGCTGGCCAGCCCCAAATGACCTGCACCCCACGCTTATCCAGCGTGCAGACATGGAGCTGCAAGGGGAGCGATAGAAAGCAGGTCACAGCAAGGACTTTGTTATCGCGCTCTCCTGCACGCACAGGGTCGGGCTCCACCTCGCCCCAGCCTCTGATCAGGGGGTGCAGATCCCCCAGCTCAGCTTCAACCCCAGGGCTCTCCCGGGGACGGTGCAGCAGATCCCTCAGGGCTGTTCCCCAAAGAGGTGCCTTGCAGCCAGCGTCTGCGATCGCACCCGGGCTCAGAGGTGCAGTTAGAAACGCAAAAGCCCCCGCTGCCCTCCCTGAGCTCACCTGGCTCTCGCTCCAGCCGCTCGTGGCGGAGCCGGCTGCTTCCCTGCCCGCCGCACCGCAGCAGCCCGGGGCTTCCCTCGGGGAGGCTCTGCCCACCATGGAGCATCTGGTGCTGGGCTTGGTGCTGCTGGCCCAGACCCTGGCTGCCAGCAGCCCCCTGCGCCAGCGAGACCTCGGCCACATCAAGGAGGTGGTGCTGGACATGGCCCCCACCGCCTTCGACGACCAGTACCGGGGCTGCAGCCGCATGATGGAGGAGGAGCTGGAGGCGCTCAACCGCCCGGGACCCCCCAGCTCCTGC